TATAGCTTATATATATATATATTGCCTTATATATATATAGCTTATATATATTATATATACTATAATCTATATCTATATCTATAATATATATATATATATATATATACTATATCAAATTTAAACACAAAATAAATTGCAAAGAAATATTCAAGGGAATGTCTTATAACTTTTATTCTCACGGCATTGACAAAAAATGGCAATATCTTTCTTAGTCTTCTTCTCTCCAATGGAATGAGCACAACAAGGTACTAATACCACCATTAAAAGAAAAAAAACTAAGGAAGATGTGCTAAAATACAAGTTACATATTAGTCTATGTATTATCTCTAATAAATTTCATAAATCCTTCAAGGTCCGGAAGAATTTTCTTTGGTGGTGGCGGAAAAGAAGCTTGTTCATCACCGCTTCCGGGCGAAGAAGCAACCTGCGCAAGTTCCTCTAGAATTTCTTCATAAGCTTCGTCAATCTCCCGTTGTGATTCTGCAAGTCTAAAATTTCTTCTTTCCGAACGGATCCAATCTCTGAAGAGTACTGATTTTTTTAAGCTCTCCCTCATAGACGCTCTATGATCATGGATTTGAAGTCTCGCTTGACTGAAAGCACTCTCCGATGCCACTGTTGAAGCTTGAACACATAAAATATCTCGAGTTATCCTTGAAAGAACCGGATAGTGTTTTTGTTTGTCCTTTGTGACGACCCGGCCAGTCGTCTCATGAGTTACCGCTCCGTTTTCCCCATTTCTATTTCTTTATGCTTTGTTTATCAGTGTTATGTGGTCTCGGGTTGGTCGGATCGAATCACGAATGAATTTGGTAAGGTTTGAGACACTTAGTCTCTTTTGAGGAAGCTCAAGTTGGAAAAGTCAACCGGATGTTAACTTCTGTGTTAGAGGGCTCGGATATGAGTTTTCATGATTTGGTTAGCTTCGGGAGGTGATTTTTGACTTAGGATCGTGATCGGAATGGATTTTGGAGGTTCGGAATAGGTTTAGGCTTGAATTGGCGAAGTTGAGATTTTGGCGATTTCTAGTTGGTAGGCGAGATTTTGATATAGGAGTCAGAATGGAATTCCGAGAGTTGCAGTAGTTTCATTGGGTCATTTGGGATGTGTGTGCAAATTTGTAGGTCATTCGGACGTGGTTTGGTTGGGCTTTTGATCAAAAGCGGAATTTGGAAGATTTTAGAAAGTTTGGCTTGAATCCGATGTGTTTTGGGTGATTTGATGTTGTTTGAGATGTTTTGATGATTGGAACAAGTTTGAATAAGTTATTAGGATATGTTGGTTCTTTTGGTTGAGATCCCGGGGGCCTCGGAGTAATTTTGGATGGTTGACGGAGAGGTTTGAGACTTGTGAAGTTGCAGATTTTTGCTGCTTCTGGTGTTTCCGCACCTGCGGATTTTGGACCGCAGGTGCGATGCCACAGATGCAGACAAGGTGATTGAAAAAGCGGATAAATGGCTGGGAGGCAGGAACCGCAGATGTGGTTGTGGGGATCGCACTTGCGAAGGCGCAGATGCGGAATTGGCATCGCAGATGCAGTTTTGGCTGAGTTAAATGAAAGGCGCAGAAGCGGCTCATTGACCGCAAATGCGGTACCACAGATGTGGTTGAAGTACCGCAGATGTGGAAATGAATAGGGGTCAGAATGTTATATTTTCTCCTTCGCAATTTTCAGAGGGTTTCTTCACTTGTAAGCACAAATTTTAGAGCTTTGGGCGATTTCGAAGAGAGAAATCAAGGAGACTTCATTAAGGTAAGGATTTTGGACCTAAAACTTATTTTTATGGTAGTATTTCATAGATTAATGCTGTAATTAAAGGAATTAAAGGGCTAAAAATTGGGGATTAGGGCTTGAGATTAAGAAGCCTTTAAATGGGGATTTGAGGGGACATTTGGACTCTGATTTCAACGTTCTTAATATGTATAAACTCGTGGGAGGATAAGAATTCCGTTGATGTAAAAATTATCGAATTTCGAGACGTGGTCCCGGGGGCCAGGTTTTGGTAATTTCGGGATTCTTGGTATTATTTGATTGTTTTCGCTTGGGCTTTGTTCTCTTGGCATATTTTGACGTCCTCGTTCTGATTTTCGGATAGATTCAACGCGCGTGGAGGCCGATTCGAGTGGCAAAGGCGTCACGAAGTAGTATTTTCACTGGTTTGAGGTAAGTAACTATTGTAAATCTAGAACTGAGGGTACAAACCCCGGTATATGACATGTTTTGATAAATGCGGTGACGCACATACTAGGTGACGAGCGTGTGAGCGTGCACCGGTAGGGATTGTGACTTGATTCGCCCCTTGCGACTATTAAGTCGCGTATTTGATTTGGAATCTTATGATATTCTGTACTTTAGCTATTTATACTATTTTTTGGGTTGTATGCCATGTTTGGGGCCTTGTGCTGACCTGTTGATAACCTTCAGGGCATTTTACTGTTTTCCTCATTTTATTTGCTGAAAGCATATCCTCAGTCATGTTTTACCTGTTTAAAAGTTTAAAAACTAGTTTTATCACTCTACTTCTAATTGTGAGGACTGTTTGGGTCGAGTTCCCTAAGTTTTATTGTAATGCCCGAGAGGCTGTGAGGTTAGGGACTGAGAGAGGTTGAGAACCAAATAGTGAGCCTATTATATGTATATATTACGGATCGGGCCGCACGCCGCAACGATACTCATATGGATCGGGTTGCACGCCACAGTGGTTACTGTGATTTCTGTTATTATGAAATATTAAGGAGCTGAGTGCTGAGAGTGAGTACCGAGTGACGAGAGTTGAGTCACGAGTGACTGAGAGGCTGCTCGAGGGGCCATATTCTGGGTGATTGCTTGCCCGAGGGGCCCTGTTGTGATGTTTTCACTGATTTCACTCTCCTTTCTAATAAGGCGCAGTTGGATATATATATTGCTAAGTATCTAATTTCAAATGTTTTAAATTGGAAATGTTGATTTTATGAAGAAACTGATTTTAAACGGTAAAGTTGATCCGTTATTCTGTTGATTATTCAGTTATATGTTTTTGAATTGCTCATCACTACTTTCAGGCCTTATTTACCTTAGTTACTAATTGAGTTGGCATACTCACGTTACTCCCTACACCTTGTGTGAAGATCCAGGTGGTCGAGCGGCCGAGTGAGGGCTTTCAGCTGATTCAGCGTTGCTAGAGATTTTGAGGTAGCTGCATAGCATCCGCAACCCTGTTTTCTCCCTCCTATCTTGTTATCTTTCCGCATTTTCTAGACTATTGATGTAGTAGGTATTTAGGCTTGTATTAGAGTCTCTAGACTCGTGACACCAGATTAATGGGGCTGTGTAGTTTCCTGTTATTTTGACTTTCCGCATATCTTTTGTTGCTTTAACGCTTATAGTGAAATTTGGTATTTAAAACTTTTGTTAGAAAAATGGCTTAAATGTTAAAGGAAAAAGGGTTATGGTTAATTGATTAGTTGGCTTGCCTAGTAGTGTGATAGGAGCCATCACGACCGGTATTTGGGGTCGTGACAAGTTGGTATCAGTGCCTAGGTTACATAGGTCTCGCGAGTCATGAGCCGGTTTAGTAGAGTCCCACGGATTACTACAGAGACATCTGTATTTATCCTCGAGAGGCTGCAGAACATTTAGGAAAATTTTTCATATTCTTGAAATTCTTGTCTTGCGAACTTGTTGATCTGAATACTAAACTTCTATTATTCCATTCTTTCATAGATGGTGAGGACACGAGCTACCGGGCTGAGTGGACGACCACCAGTTCCACTAGTTGGGGTCACCAGAGGCTAAGGACGTGGTCGAGGCCTTGGTAGGGGTAGAGCAGTTAGGGCAGCACCTGCAGATCCACCAGCTACCCCAGTTCAGGATCAGGTCCCAGTTGTGGACGCTACAACAGCACCAGCTGTGCCCATTGTGATTCCAGGCCTTCAGAAGGCTTTAGCTCAGATCTTATAAGTGTGTACCAGTTTGGCTCAGGCAATTTTAGTTACTACAGCCGCAGCTACTTCTCAGGCTGGGGGAGGCACCCAGAATCCCGTTGCTCGCACACCTGAGCAGGTTATGTAGGGACTCCAGACACCGGGGGCGCCTCCAGCCTAGCCGGTTGCACCAGCTCAGGAGTTTGTGGTACCAGTTATGCCGGACGACGAGCAGCATCGACTTGAGAGGTTTGGTAGACTCTAGCCTCCGACATTCGGTGATGCAGAAGACGAGGATGCCCAGGGTTTCTTGGATAAGTGCCAGAGGATGTTTCGTACAGCAGGGATTTTATAGACCAGTGGTATGACATTTACCACCTTTCAGTTTTCTAGGGCTGTATTCACTTGGTGGAAGGCGTATGAGAGGTGTAGGCCTGTTGGTGCAGCTCCCCTTACTTGGCAGCAGTTCTCTATTTTCTTTCTGGAGAAGTATGTACCACAGTCTCGCTGAGAAAAGCTGCGTAGGCAGTTCGAGTAGTTGCATTAGGGAGAGATGACTGTGACGCAGTATGAGATACAGTTCTCTGAGTTAGCCTGTCATGCGGTTTGGTTGGTTCCCATAAATCGAGAGAGGATTATGAGGTTTGTTAATGGTCTCACATATCAGCTTTGGATTCTCATGACTAGGGAGAGGGTGACAGGTGCCACTTTCGAGGAGGTTGTTGATATCGCCTATGAGATTGAGTCGGTTCGCCGTCAGGAGCAAGAGGAGAGAGAGGACAAGAAGCCTCGGGGGTCTGGTAGCTTCAGCAGTGCTCCTTCGAGCGGTCAGTTCCAGTAGGGTAGAGGCCGTCCCTTCAGGCAGGCTCATTCAGCTCGCCTAGGGTATCGTGGGGTATCATCGGGTCATGGTTCTCATCAGGGCTACTCATCACTCAGTGCCCTCCTAGCCTAGAGTTCGTCCCTTGCTCCATCAGTGCAGGGTTCTTCCATGCGAGGTCCTTCTACTGGTCACTACGGTGCCAGGGGTTCCCTTCAGTCCCCATCTCCAGCACTAGGGAGTTGGTATGAGTGTGGAGAGTTTCGGCATCTGAGGAGGTAGTGTCCTCGCCTTCGTGATAGCCAGTCTCAGCAGAGGGATCAACCCTTGATTTCTACTCCAGTTACTTCACCACCCGCCCAGCCAGCTAGGGGTGAGGTCAGTCAGCCAGGGGTCGCCCTAGAGGGGGAGGTCGATCAGGTGGTGGTCAAGCCCGTTTCTATGCTCTTCCGAGTAGATCAGATGTTGTTGCTTCAAATGCCGTGATTTCAAGTATTGTTTCAGTCTACCACAGAGATGCCTCTATATTATTTTGACCCCGGTTCCACCTTTTCTTATGTGTCATCATACTTTGCATGTTATCTAGATACGCCCCGTGAGTCTTTTGTTTCACTTGTTCATGTATCTACTCTAGTGGGCGATACTGTCGTCGTAGACCATGTATACCGGTCGTCTGTGGTGACTATTAGGGGTCTGGAGACCCGAGTGGATCTTTTATTATTGTGTATGGTGAATTTCGATATCATTTTGGGCATGGACTGGTTATCTCCGTGTCATGTTATTCTTGACTGTCATGCCAAGGCAGTCACATTAGCTATACCGGGTGTGCCATGGATCGAGTGGCGAGGTGTGACTGATCATGTTCCTAGTAGAGTGATCTCGTTCTTGAAAGACCAACTTATAGTTTGGAAGGGATGTCTTTCGTATCTAGCCTTTGTAAGGGATGTCGGAGCTGAGGCTCCCAGTATTGATTTTGTCCTAGTTGTGAGGGATTTTACCGATGTGTTTCCTGTAGACCTGCTAGGAATGCCATCGGATAGGGATATTGATTTTGGTATTGACCTGGTGCCGGACACTCAGCCCATTTCTATTCCTCTGTATTGTATGGCACCAGCGGAGTTGAAGGAACTAAAAGGACAGCTTCAGGAGCTCCTTGATAAGAGGTTCATTCGTCCTAGTGTATCACCTTGGGGTACGCCGGTTCTATTTGTGAAGAAGAAGGATGACACTATGAGGATGTGCATTGATTATAGGCAATTGAACAAGGTAACAGTTAGGAACAAGTATCATTTGCCTCGCATTGAGGATTTATTCGACCAGCTTCAGGGAGCGAGGGTGTTCTCCAAGATTTATCTCCGTTCAGGTTATCACCAGTTGAAAATTAGGGACTCGGATATTCTTAAGATAGCTTTCAGGACCCGATATGGCCATTATTAGTTCTTGGTGATGTCTTTCAGGCTGACCAATGCCCCAGCAATGTTCATGTATTTGATGAACAGCGTGTTCCGGCCTTATCTTGACTCGTTTGTCATAATCTTCATTGATGATATTCTGGTGTATTTGCGTAGTCAGAAGGAACACACAGAGAATTTGAGAGTTGTGTTGCAGAGATTGAGGGAGGGGAAGCTTTATGCAAAATTCTCCAAGTGTGAGATTTGTCTCAGTTCATTGACTTTCTTAGGTCACGTGGTGTCCAACGAGGGTATTCAGGTTGATCCGAAGAAAATAGAGGCGGTTTAGAGTTGGCCCAGACCATCCTCAGCCACAGAGATTCGCAACTTTCTTGGCTTGACAAGCTATTATCGCCGGTTTGTTCAGGTATTCTCATCTATTGCATCGCCCTTGACCAAGTTGACTCAGAAGGGTGATTCATTTGTATAGTCGGACGAGTGTGAGGAGAGTTTTCAGAAGCTCAAGACAGATTTAACCACAACTCTAGTGCTAGTTTTGCAATCAGCTTCAGGTTTATATACTGTGTATTATGATGCTTCGAGAGTTGGGATTGGTTGTGTGTTGATGCAGGAGGGTAGAGTTATTGCTTATGCTTCTCATCAGTTGAAGTCCCATGAGAAGAACTACCACATTCATGATTTGGAGTTGGCTTCCATAGTTCACGCGTTAAAGATTTGGAGGCATTACTTGTATGGTGTGTCTTGTGAGGTGTTTACTGATCATCGTAGCCTCCAGCACTTGTTCAAACCGAAGGATCTCAATTTGAGGCAGCGGAGATGGTTAGAGTTGTTTAAGGATTATGATATCACTATATTGTATCATCCGAGAAAGGCCAATGTGGTGGCCGATGCTTTGAGCCGAAAGGCAGTGAGTATGGGGAGTTTGGCATATATTCCAGTTGGGGAGAGACCTATTGCATTTGATGTTCAGGTCTTGGTCAATCGGTTTGTGAGGCTAGATATTTCGGAGCCTAGTCGGGTATTGGCTTGTGTGGTTTCTCAGTCTTCCTTATATGATCGCATCAGAGAGCGTCAGTATGATGATCCACACTTGTTTGTCCTTAAGAACAGAGTTCAACATGACAAAGTTAGAGATGTGGCCATTGGAAATGATGGGGTGTTGAGGATGCAGGGCCGGATTTGTGTGCCCAATGTGGATGGTCTTCGGGAGTTGATTCTGGAGGAGGCCCATAGCTCGCAGTATTCCATTCATTTGGGTTCCACGAAGATGTATCAGGATTTGAGGCAGCACTATTGTTGGAGAAGAATGAAGAAAAACAAGTGGGATTTGTAGCTCGGTGTCTCGATTGTCAGTAGGTGAAATATGAGCATCAGAGACCGGGTGGCTTGCTATAGCAAATGGATATTCCCGAGTGGAAGTGGGAGAGGATCGCTATGGATTTTGTTGTTGGACTTCCGCGGACTTTGAGGAAGTTCGATGCTATTTGGGTGATTGTGGATCGGCTGACCAAATCCGCACACTTCATTCCAGTGTATACTACCTATTCTTCAGAGCGGTTGGCAGAGATCTATATCCGGGAGATTGTTCGATTGCATGGTGTCCCGGTTTCCATCATTTCAGATAGAGGCACTCAGTTTACTTCGCAGTTCTGGAGGTCTGTGTAGTGAGAGTTGGGTACTTAGGTTGAGTTGAGCACATCTTTTCATCCTCAGATGAACGGGCAATCCGAGCGCACTATTTAGATATTGGAGAACATGTTGCATGCCCGTGTCATTGATTTGGAGGGTCATGGGATCAGTTTCTACCACTTGTAGAGTTTGCTTATAACAACAGCTACCAGTCAAGTATTCAGATGGCTCCATTTGAGGCTTTGTATGGGAGGCGATGTAGATCTCCAGTTGGTTGGTTCGAGTCCGGTGAGGCTAGGATATTGGGGACTGATTTGGTGCAGGATGCTTTGGAGAAGGTGAAGGTGATTCAGGAGAGGCTTCATATAGCGCAGTCGAGGCAAAAGAGTTATGCTGACAGGAAGGTTTGAGATGTGTCCTACATGGTTGGTGAGAAGGTTTTACTGAAGGTTTCGCCCGTGAAGGGTGTTATGAGATTCGGGAAGAAAGGGAAATTGAGTCCTCGGTTCATTGGGCCTTTTGAGGTGCTTCAGAGGATTGGGGAGGTGGATTATGAGCTTGCTTTTCCACCCATCTTGTCAAGTATGCTCTGGTATTCCATGTTTCTATGCTCCGGAAATACATTGGGGATCTGTCTCATGTTTTGGATTTCAGCACGATTCAGTTAGATGATGATTTGACTTATGATGTGGAGCCAGTAACTATTTTGGGTCGTCATGTTCGAAAGTTGAAGTCAAAGGATATAGCTTCAATGAAAGTGCAGTGGAGAGGTCGGCCCATGGAAGAGGCTACCTGGGAGACCGAGCAGGCGATGCGAAGTAGATATCCTCACCTGTTTGAGGCTTCGGGTATGTTTCTTGACTCGTTCGAGGACGAACATTTGTTTAAGTTGGGGAGGATATGACGATCTGGCCAGTCGTCTCATGAGTTACTGCTTTATTTTCCCCATTTCTGCTTCTTTATGCTTTTTTTATCCATGTTATGTGGTCTCGGGTTGGTCGGATCGAATCCGGAATGAATTTGGTAAGGTTTGAGACACTTAGTCTCTTTTGAGGAAGCTTAAGTTGGAAAAATCAACCGGATGTTGACTTCTGTGTTAGAGGGCTCAGATGTGAGTTCTGATGGTTCGGTTAGCTTCGGGAGGTGATTTGTGAATTAGGAGTGTGATCGGAATGGGTTTTTGAGGTTCGGAGTAGGTTTAGGCTTGAATTGCTGAAGTTGAGATTTTGGCGATTTCCGGTTGGTAGGCGAGATTTTGATATAGGGATCGGCATGGAATTCGCAGTAGTTTCGTTGGGTCATTTGGGATGTGTATGCAAATTTGCAAGTCATTCGGATGTGGTTTGGTTGGGTTTTTGATCAAAGCGAAATTTGGATGATTTTAGAAAGTTTGGCTTGAATTCGATGTGTTTTGGGTGATTTGATATTGTTTGAGGTGTTTTGATGATTGGAACAAGTTTAAATAAGGTATTAGGATATGTTGGTGCTTTTGGTTGAGGTCCCGGGGGCCTCGGGGTAATTTCGGATGATTAACGGAGAGGTTTGAGACTTGTGAAGTTGCAAATTTTTGCTGCTTCTGGTGTTTCCACACCTACGGATTTTGGACCGCAGATGCGGACAAGGTGATTGCAGAAGCGGCTAAATTCCTGGGAGGCAGTAACCGCAGATGCGGTTGTAGGGACCGCACCTGCGAAGGCGCAGCTACGTAATTGGCATTGCAGATGCCGTTTTGGCTGAGTTAAATGAAATCCGCAGAAGCGGCTCATTGACCGCAAATGCGGTACCACAGATGCGGTTGAAGTAACCCAGCTGCGGAAATGACTGGGGTCAGAATGTTATATTTTCGCCTTCGCGATTTTCAGAGGGTTTCTTTACATGTAAGCACGAATTTTGGAGGTTTGGGCAATTTCGAAGAGAGAAATCAAGGAGACTTCATTAAGGTAAGGATTTTGGACCTAAAACTCATTTCTATGATAGTATTTCATGGATTAAGGCTGTAATTAAAGGAATTAAAGGGCTAAAAATTGGGGATTAGGGCTTGAGTTTAAGAGACCTTTAAATAGGGATTTGAGGGGTCATTTGGACTCCGAACTTAGTGTTCTTGATATGTATAGACTCGTAGGAGGATAAGGATTCCGTTGATGTAAAAATTATCGAATTCCGAGATGTGGTCCCGGGGGTCGGGTTTTGGTAATTTCGGGATTCTTGGTATTATTTGATTGTTTTCGCTTGGGCTTCGTTCCCTTGGCATATTTTGACGTCCTCATTCTGATTTTTGGATAGATTCAACAATCGTGGAGGCCAATACGAGGGGCAAAGGCATCACGAAGTAGTATTTTCACCGGTTTGAGGTAAGTAAACATTGTAAATCTGGAACTGAGGTTACAAACCTCGGTATTTGACTTGTTTTGATAAATGCGGTGACGCACATGCTAGATGACGAGCGTATGAGCGTGCACTGGTAGGGATTGTGACTTGGTCCGTCCCGTAGCGACTATTAAGTCGCGTATTTGATTTGGAACCTTATGATATTCCGTAATTTAGCTATTTATACTATTTTTTGGGTTGTATGCCATGTTTGAGGCCTTGTGCGGACCTGTTGAGACCCTTCGAGGAATTTTACTGTTTTTCCTCACTTTATTTGCTGAAAGCATATCCTCAGTCATGTAATTAACCTTAAATTTAGAGATAAAAGTTAAAGATCTTCCAAATGTACTAAATTACTAGGCCGAATTTACTATCATGTTGACGGCTCTCCAAAACCTGGATCTTTACCTCCTGGTGTTTCAGCAGCTGTTAATGGAGTTGCATTTTTTGGAACCCTTACAGGTAAGGCCGGAATATGTAGCTTACATTTACTGTATTTATACTGGAAATCAGAATTAAACGAGCTTTTATCCTACTTTCCACACGAGATTTCTGTTGTTCTCGTTGAGTCATCTTAGGACCCCTGTATTACCTTTCAACAGGGCATTCAACTAGATTCAGTATTTTTTATACATATCATAAAGTTTCAATCAATATGAAATTTGGAACAGGTCGAACCTATTAAATTTAAATCTTGAATCTCTTCTGAAACGCAGGGCAACTCTTTTTTGGTTGGCTTGGTGACAAATTGGGCAGGAAAAAAGTCTATGGCATAACATTAATGCTCATGAGTCTATGTTCCATTGGTTCTGGTCTTTCTTTTGGTAGAGAACCAAAGACAGTGTTAGCCACACTTTGCTTCTTCAGATTCTGGCTAGGATTTGGTATTGGTGGTGATTACCCTCTTTCAGCTACCATTATGTCTGAATATGCCAATAAAAAGACAAGGGGTGCTTTTATTGATGCTGTTTTCGCTATGCAAGGATTCGGTATTCTGGGTGGAGGAATCTTTGCCATCCTGGTCTCTGCAATATTCGAAGCCCGATTTAAGGCTCCTCCATACAAAGTACGATGTGTTTGAATTTTATCGTATTTAACCTGAAAATATAAACAACCTAACATAAATGCTTATATGACTTTAGGATCGTGGAATTTTATGATTTTCATAGCATTGAAGACCTAACTAGGAAAATGTTGGGCTAAAACTACCTGTAGATACTCTTACCAACAGAAAACATACCTGAATTAATCCATCAGAGTTTCTTGAACAGTAAAGGGCAGTCCGGTGCACTAAGCTTCCGCTAAACATGGGGTCCGAGGATGTATGCAACCTTACCTATATTTCTGCAAAGTTTCCACGGCTCGAACCCGTGACCTAAACACTGTTGAGTAGAAATCACTATCAATTTTGATCGTTTTAGAGATCTTGTTTCTCTCAACATATAGCTAATAGGAATTTAGCCAATTTATAATAATTAAACCAAAGTAATTAATGGTTTACTTGTGTAATTTCTAACAGGTTGATTCAGTTGGTTCAATTGTTCCACAAGCAGACTATGTTTGGAGAATTATATTAATGGTTGGAGCATTTCCTGCAATTCTCACTTACTATTGGAGAACAAAGATGCCAGAAACTGCTCGTTACACTGCCTTAGTTGCCAAGAATGTAAAGCAAGCAACTGCAGATATGGAAAAAGTAATGCAAGTTGATATTGAAACAGAACAAAAAGAAGAGCCTAAAATTGCTGTTACAACTAGAGGAAAATCAGGCAATGATTTTGGTTTATTTTCTAAAGAATTTCTTCGTCGACATGGACTTCATTTACTTGGCACAACAAGTACATGGTTTCTTCTTGATATTGCATTTTATAGCCAAAATTTGTTCCAAAAAGATATCTTTAGCGCAATCGGATGGATTCCTCCTGCCAATACTATGAATGCAATTCAAGAAGTTTTCAAAATTGCTAGAGCACAAACACTTATTGCTCTATGTAGTACAGTGCCAGGGTATTGGTTCACAGTCTTTTTAATTGATAGAATTGGGAGGTTTACTATTCAATTACTTGGTTTCTCTATGATGACAGCATTCATGTTTGCTTTAGCCATTCCTTATAACCATTGGACTCAACCCAACAATCGTATCGGATTCGTTGTCCTATACTCATTGACATTTTTTTTCGCGAACTTTGGACCTAACTCGACCACATTTGTCGTGCCAGCTGAGATATTTCCAGCTAGATTACGTTCCACATGTCATGGAATATCGGCTGCAGCAGGAAAATTAGGGGCAATGGTTGGTGCTTTCGGGTTTTTATATTTGGCTCAGCCACAAGATAAGAGTAAGGTTGATGAAGGGTACACTGCTGGTATAGGAGTGAAGAATTCTCTTATTGTGTTGGGATTTGTTAATCTTTTGGGTACATTGTTTACTTTCTTGGTTCCTGAATCTAACGGGAAATCTCTTGAAGAAATGTCAAGGGAAAATGATGATGCAGATGAAGCTTAAGCAAAATAGGATTAGATAGATAGAGTTTTTAGGGAAAACTTGTTTCTCTTTTTGGTGCTTTTTTTTTCTCTACATAGTTTTCAGCTATTATATTTTTATTTTGTTACACTCTAGGTAGTGGTTGTTACTCTCTTTTATGTAGGATCATACTTTAAGTTCCGGTATCAGTTATAAATTACTCTAGCCGTTCTACTTGTTATGTTTTGCTTTTCGAGAGTCAAACTACATAAATTTTGACTAATATTTTAATTAACATGTATTTTTTCACCATATTAATATGAGACGAATAGCAAATTATACTAGTACTTTTGGTATAGTTTCCGAATATATAAATGTTAATATTAAACTATTAAGAAGAGAGTAAATGTGTAATTGCAATAGTTTCAAAGTTACTATGATATGTACTATATAAAATCATAGAAAAATCTTGCATTAACAAATCACAATATAAAAAAAAGGTGAACTTTTTGTTCCATGGGGCCATCAATTAAGATTGCATCTACTATTCTTTTTAGGTAATTAACATTTTTGTTTAATCACCAATAATCTTTACAATTCATAGCCTGCTTTATAACTCAGCAGTTATATCTATCAGAAACTCAAAGAAACAATCTCAAACCTACATACTATGTCTAATGAAATATAAAATGTTGAACTAAACTACTAATTCCTTTGGTAGCTCTCACATTACATATGTAGGCTATTTCTCTAGCTATGTTATCAACACTTCTGCTTCTCTGTTGAAATATTCTCATATTCCTTTCAATCCAAACACTATGTGTAACCTCTGCATACACCATTCGGTACAAATGAGCTTCATAAGATCTGCCTTTAGCACTTTGTATCATCCATTGTTGATGTTGCACCCAGTTATCTCGAACTACATCATGTCTTTGCATCTAGTGTAAAACCTTCTGCCACACTGCCTTAGTAAAGAGGCATTTCACAAACAGATGGTCTCTAGTTTCATCATGAAGCTGACATAGAGAACATTTTGAATCCATAGTTACCCCCCATTTGATCAATCTATCTGCAGTTAAAAGTCTCTCATGCAAATGTAGCCACATTGTGAATATGGCTTTAGGTCTAGCTTTGATTTAAAACATCATACACTTCCAGTTGACTCTAGGCCTATTTCTCAGTAGCTGAATGTAAAACTGTCTAACCATGCTCTTTTTGGTTTGCTGTTTATGTTGTACTTGTTGTAGGACTGTTCTGGCACTCAGTACCTGTCTGACCATCCAGCTTGCCTCTTGTAGGATTGCCATGTCTTCTAGTCTCTTATCTTTGATGTAAAATATGTGAATCCACGTGATCCACAGTCTGTCTTGCTTACTTGCTACATCCCAACAGAGTTTTGATGTAGCTGCCCTATTCCATACTTATAGATTAATCAAACCGAAGCCCCCACTTGACTTAGGTGTGCACATCCGACTCCAAGCCACCAAGACTTTTTTGTAATGGTATTGATCTCAGACCAAATATAACTCCTGCAGTAGGCCTCTATCATCTTCATAACTTTTGCAGGCAAGTTGAATAGCTGTGACCAATAGGATTGAATATCAAATAGGACAGTTTGGACCAACTGCACTCTTCCAGCATATGAAAGCTTCTTTGCAGTCCATGAGGATATCCTTGCTACTATCTTTTCTACCAGAGGATACCATTGTATCAGAGAAAGTTTCTTGGTAGCAAGAGGAATACCAAGATACTTAAATGGTAACTCTCCAGTTGTGTAGCCCAATTTTTGAATAATCTCTAACTTGGTACTCTGTTGAACTCCTCCAAAATACAGTAAACTCTTCTTCAAATTTGCTTGTAAACCAAAGACCTGAGAGAAATGGTTGAAACATTCATGAATATGAGAGATAGAGTTTAGATCACCTCTAGTAAATAGCAAAAGATCATCTGCATAGCTTAGGTGAGTAATCCCTAACTTTGCACACCTGGGGTGGAACTTGAAACTTTTTACCTCCTTTAGTTTGTTGAGACTTCTACTAAGATACTCAATTAAAATTGCAAACAGGAAAGGAGAGATGGGATCTCCCTGTCTTAGACTCTTAGCAGCATCAAATGGTGGGGTAGGCTCTCCATTGAACATGACAATGTAGTTGACAGTTGTTACACACTCCATTATCCAGTTCACAAACCTTGCTGGGAATACCATTTCAATCATAACTTGCTACAAAAAACTCCATTCAACAGAATCATAAGATTTTTGAAGGTCAATCTTGATCATGCACCTAGCAGAAATATTTTTCCTTGTGTAACCTTTAACTAGCTCATGAGCTAGTATAATGTTATTTGTTATCCTCCTACCAGGTATGAAACCAGCTTGATCTTCACTTATTACTGATGCAATAACTTGTTGAATTCTGCCAGCTAAGACTTTAGAGATCCGTTTATACAACATAGAGCAACAAGCAATAGGTCTGTAGTCTTTTATTGTACTAAGATTAGCCAGTTTAGGAACCAATGTGATAGAAGTACAATTCACAGCTTTATATAATTTCTCAGTACTGAAGAATATCTTGGCTAACTTCATTTTTAATAATCACCGATGCCTTCTTGAAGAAATAAGAATTGTAGCCATCAATTCCTGGTGCTTTGTCACTATCAATAGCACATAATCCAGTATAAATCTCTTTGTCAGTAACCTCAGCACATAGAGCAAGTTTCTGTTATTGTGATAATATTGGGCAATTCTTCATAATCACTTTATTTATGGCAGGAAGAGAGTAGGATGCTGATTCGATTAAAGACTTATAGAATTCCACCACTTCTTGCTTTATGCTTTCTGGATGAATAAGCTTATCTCCTGTAATTGACACAAGTTCATTTACTTATTTTCTCTGGCTTCTTTCTTTCATAACAACTACAAAATACTTTGTATTTGAATCTCCCAGTTTGATCCACTTAGTTCTTGCTTTCTGCCTTAATACACTTTCTTCAATAAGAGACTATTTTTCTAAACTCTGCAACAAGCTTTTCTCTTCTTCAATCAGAGAGTCATTGTATGCTGCATTGATCTTCTGCTGCACCTCCTCTAAGCTTATTTTGGCATGCTCAATCTTCATACTAATAGTTCTAAAGTGTTCAATATTTAGAGTCCTGAAAAAAGGCCTTAGTTCCTTCAGTTTTACCCAGATGTTCTTCATTTTGCCCTTAGTATATGATTGATTCCAGACTCTTTCTACAATGGATATAAAACTGTCATGATCTGCTCATACATTAAAGAATCTGAAAGGTATTTTACCAGGTTTAGAAGCTGAGTGAAGAGTAATCAACATTGGACTATGATCAGATATATATATGGCAATCCATACTCAGTGATCACATGACCCCACTACATTATCCACTCATAATTGCCAAAAGCTCTGTCAATCCTGCTGCTGATCCTTTCTGCAGCATATTGCTTGTTAGACCATGTGCAATAATCATATGTCCATGCTAGCTCATTTAAAGATAGAGTAGTTACACAATCAGCAAAGTCCTACAATTCTATTTAAGTAATAGGGTTACCCATCAGCCTATCATTAGTATATAGAACTACATTGAAATTCCCACATAACAACCATCATTTTGTGATTCCTGCTGCAATGCTCTTCAAGCCATTCCATAACTACTTCATTTGTTCTATAGTATTGTATCCATATATAGATGTAACTGCACAATCAACTATCCCCACCCTATCTTGTACCAAACAGTGTATAAATTGAGTTGCAACACTTAGGATAGTAACATTGTACCACTGAGAATCCCAAGTAAACCATATCCTTCCATTTAAAGCATCTTGATAGTTGGTAGCATAGTTCTATCCTGGTATTATTTTTGTTATAATTCTGCTAGCATTGTGTTCCTTAACTCTTGTTTGCACTATAACTGCTAACTTTATTCTTTGGCTACGAATGTATTTTTTTAACTCTTTTTGTTTATACCTCTTATTCACCCCTCTAATATTCCAAAATAACCACTTAATCAGCAGGTCATTCTACCTTTACCCTTATCAGGGGGTACATTGTTAGTACACCGTGATCCCTTGTTCAATGGATCAAAAGAATTCCTTATAGTAATAGCTGATAAAGCTGGAAAGTTTACCATATCCAGCTCAATCCTGTCCTCTATAGCCTTACCTTTGTCCACTGGTTTTTCCACTATAGACTATTCTGGGAGAGTGTCTGCATATTATCCTGTTGAACAGTTGTCTGATTATTCATTGGTTGTATATTCTCTACAGCTCCTACTTGACCAAGCTTCTGGGGTTCAATCTGCTGTAGGCTAGTCTCCTCTGCTTGCTTAGTTTGACTAACCCCTTCTTTCACTGGTCTTTTTGATCTTCATTCCATGGTAACTTTATTTGCTTCTCTTCTCTTTCCTTGCTGCTTATCTTATTGCTTATATTGTTGTTGCTCCAAACCACATCTGTGCCCAACCACTAAATATTTCTGACAAAATTCAGGTTTCCAGTCATACCTAACTGCCTGTATAAATGTCCTTCCATTAGGATCCATGACTGTAATCTTAGTAGGCAATTCTCTGGTAATATTCACTTCTATAATCATCCTTGCAAAGGATACTCTCATTTTCTTTGCAATACATTCATCCGCATAGATTGGAGTACCTATTGCACTAGCCACTCAACTCAAAGGGTCATGACCCCAGCAGTTCATAGGAAGATTAGGAAATTGAACCCATAGAGGAATTTCAATGGGGAACTCCTCATTGAAATCAAAATTTGGTGTCCGCGGCTTCAATATAATAGGTCTATTGTTAAAGGTGTAAGGTCCAGAATAGAAAATTTCACTCATGTCATCAATAGTTTGAAATTTGATAATATAGTACCCTTCCTCATGTAAATACAAATCTGGCTCAACCACATTCGCCCAATTTTCCCCAATGAACCTCTTCATAGCATTATATCTTGGAGATTCCCCAATTATGTATGCTATTACCGCACTCTTCCATTTCTCTGTTTCCAGATCTACCTCGCTTTTATCTAA